ATTATTATTATTATTATTATTATTATTATTATTTCTGTAGTTTAGCGCCATCTGCTGTCAGATAGTGAAAGTGCGCTTTCATCCAGAGCGTCTCTCACATGTTCTGCCATGTGCTTCACGTCTGCGCTTGTTTACTTCAGAGTGCGCACGCGCCTTTCACACAGCATACAGCGGTGTTGTGCATTTGACCAGTTGATAGGAAAAGTATTCTTAAAATGCATTCAAAATTCTGAATAATTTGTAATATATAATTATTCACGGTATTTAAAAGTGCCCACGATAACAATATCGTGCATATTCATTACCGTGATATATCGCATTACCGAATACCGGCACAAGTGTACACTGGACAGAGCCTTTATAGCGGCAAAATGTGTGGAAAGAGCTTCTCACAAAAAAGAAATCTTCAGTCTTACATAAGTGTCCACTCTGGAAGAAGTACATTTAATTGTTATCAGTGTAATAAAAAATTTCTTTTGGCATCGCACATACAGATACACCTGAAAAGTCATGCAGATGTGAGACCCTATTCTTGTTCTTTGTGTAGAAAGCGTTTCAAATGGCTCGGCAATTAAAAATGGCACCAGAAAGTACGAATCTGTGTAAAATTAAGACTGCGTTCATATCGCAGCTGAATGTGGGCCAAATCTGAACATTGCATATAGGCGCACAGATAATTTGATTAAGTTCAGAGCTATAAATGATTAGAGTGAGAATTAATTTGCACTCATTAAAGTCCCCCTGTAGACAACATTTTTTATCCATTAAAACATCTTTTATCATCAAAATGACATATTTAAATGTTTTTTCTTGTGAAAATAAACTTCTCATGCCTTAAAGGTGGGGTATGTATTTTTTCAAAAACGCTTTAGAAAACTGATTCGTGCCGAGTTTCTAAACAAACTTGTAGCCAATCAGCAGTAAGGGGCGTGTCTACTCATGATGAGGAGGAGAGAGCGTTCAGTGCACAGGACGGACATTAGCGAGCCGAGCGACAGAAA